TCAAACAATTCCTCCTCGTGCTTGTTTCGTCGTTGCACACTGTCTGCGTCAATATCCGACCTAATCCGGTGCCTGGCTGAGGCTCAGCTTGTTCAACTAGCACACATATGCACATATCCACCCACCCAACCACATACACACACACACACACACACACATAATTAAACCGACTGGCACCCACATGCTAACTAATAAACACGCACACACAAACAGACACACACACACTTGATTTTATAATGCACAATTCCATTTTTAGGGTGTATAAACCTTCAGCACTGCAGCACAGTAGCCCCCGTACAACACTAAAGAATGACAATTTTCTATTAGATTTGAGCTGGCTGGAAAGAGAGAGCGAAAGAGACAGAGAGAGGAGCAAGGCAGAAAGTTGCCTTCATTTAAACTGTTCTGCACTGAGGCTTTTCAATTTGATTATGAGGCTCCATTTCATATAGCCTGGATGCTGCGTGCCATTCAGAATTAAATTGAGCCGTTGGTCGGCTGGACAGACAGCCTCCCCATGTCTCCTCTGCAGGGGCATCAGGGGACGACAAGGGCAACGCTGGCCTGCCATGCCCTTTCGGTGCACTGTTTAGTCGGGTTGCAGGGGAAATGCAAAAAGCGACAGATCTTGGGTAGCTGGCTAAGTGGGCGAGAGTATGGATTAATTGAGTGCTTTGAGGTTTTGGAATGTGATGTGAGGAGTCCTGCTGCAATGTCTGTGAAGGACTCTTTAGTTTTACAAAAGTCAGGCATACATGTTGGTATTTTGTTCTATCTTACTTCCTCAATATGCCTGTACAGATTTTCTCTCTCGTATTTGTCCCTCTTTCTACCTACAGTAAATCTTCCTCTGATGTGTAGAAATACAGAAATGCCAGTGTTCATACACACTGACTGATGGGATGATTGCCCATATTTGGGTCAGTCCTGACCTGGTTCAGTGACTGATGATCACCAGAAACAGGTAACTAAAGCTGAGGATGTAACAGCAACCCTGCTCTCTTGGTGTCCATCATCAATCCTGTTTGTTACGTCATTTACACTTCCTGAGACGGTTTCCTTTTACATCTTAGGCTCTTCTGTGGTCCCACATCTGTGACAACAATCAATTAATCGTCATGTAATTGGTCATCGGAGACCAAATTAGGGGTACATCTTGTCTCTATTTTTGCAGCATTTCTGTAAATATATGGAAATGTTTTAAAGGCCCAGTGTGTGAGATTTAGTGGCATCTAGTAGTGTACTTGCAGATTGCAACTCCCTTGCTTCACCCTCCCCTTTCAATTGCAAAGGAGAAACTACGGTGGCCACAAAACACACAAAAAATGCTAACTGCCCTGTCTGGAGTGAGTGTTTGGTTTGTGCCTTCCAGGCTACTGTAGGAACACTGCATTTCAGTATACTGTCTGTAGGTAAGATTTTTTACTTTTAGATCATTATACACTAATGAAAATATAGTTATGTGTATTATATTCAATTTATGTCAATAGATCCTCTTAAATGTTACACACTAGACCTTTGAGAGGAGATTAATGATGTTTTCTGCTGTTTATATACTTATTGCCATTGCCCCACTCTAACTTTATGACGGGAGGGACCCATACATTTTTTTTTAAAATAGGTTGGAGAAATTTATGATGTGTGTTCAGTTTGACATTCCAAAGCAAAAATCAATGAGAGCCCACGCAGGGAGTGGTGTGTTTGTCCAGTCTGGAGCAGAAAGGATTCATCTCTTAGAGTCGGAGAAGACTGTTAATCATTTATTGTACAGCCACACTTGTTCAGAGTTAACTCTTCTCTATGAATTCACACCTCGAACCTACACGAACAATGATTTTTGGGTTTGCAGGGGTTGAAGTAAATTACAACGATTCACATTGTCGCAATTAAGTCATTTTATTTTGGTACTCAGGCCTGTAATTTTTCTCTTAAGTAAGTATACATTTCACTAAGTCATCTACTTTGCTGCTTTTAAAATCCTAATTCACTAGTGAGTAGGCCTGCAATCTATATTCAGACCTTTCATCAGCATTTTTGCAGCTAATACGCCAGGGACACACTGCAAAGTGCCCCAAAGCACTAGCCGCATCCTTTCTGTGACCACCTTAACTAATTGGGCTGCTTTCCACCAGTGTGGGTTAGTTACGATGTGTCATAACCTTTGTAAATTTATATTAAAACGCTGACACCACCAAGTGTGTCACAAATGAATAAATTAATTTCATACATACACGCAAATATTGTACTTTTCACCACACTAAATTTATTTATTACTAGTTACTTTTTACTTAAACATATGACATTTTACTAATATATCCAGTCGTGTACAACGTCTCTAAAATTGGCTCCATATTGACAAACTACTACATTAACATGCTACATGTATTCATTGATGATAAAAACAGAATGATAAAATACTCTCTAACGCTTTGAAAAGAATTTGACAATGATTTTCCTCAAGTTCTGTATTTATCACATATCTAAGGGATCAGTCATAACTGTACCAAAATGTGTGGTCCGTTTCATTCAGTAGTGATGAATTAATCATAACTAATCGCTTTAACTTAACTGGTTTGAGCAGTTTGGCTTTAATAGGATTAGTGGTTCGATCCCTGAGCAAGATACTGAATTGTGCCTGGTGTGTGTATGTGTGTGAGAGAAAAATGTAAGTCACTTTTGACAAAAGCATCTATCAAATTAATTTTTTTAACAAGTTATGTAATAAATGTCCTCAGCCAACAGTATAATCCTTGAATACTGTGGTAAGATAATAGTAAGATAAACAGTAAAAATACACTCCTATAAATGCACAAAGCAGAGTTTTCTACAAACATGTACAACCTTTGCTTGAGATAGTTGGATTCTGTCTCATATATTATAGTCCAGGACCCATATTTACATATCAAGCATCTCAGAACCACTCTCAGAAAGTTTGCAGAGACTAAAAATACTCCAAAGCTCAGAGCAAGACTTCAGAATTATTTACTTTCCACATAAAGGCAGGAAACTCTCTTTCCACAATGAATGACATCATGTTGTGACACTCACAACCAAAAGAATAATGACATTTTGTACAGTAGGTGCATCCAAAGGACTGACAGGCTATACTGTATACTGTAGAGCTTGATGCAGAAAAGACAAGCTATTTACGCACTGGTAAAGAATAAAAGTACTTACCCAAACTTTTAACCATCAAAACACTGAAATAATTAAATATGTAGGTATACTCATCTTGCTTGCTGCATCTCTTTTTTGCAAGTAAGTTGTAAATTGCAAGAATTCACCTTTTTTGCAGAATAGACAAAATCAGTAATGAGACTTTTAATCCACTCAGCATCTTTAAGTAACTTGCTGTTATTTTGATTTGTTTGCAAAATTCAGAACTCCCTTTTCTAATTATATCCCCAAATAAAGAACAGCATCTTGACCACTATTGCCATATCAGCATCTCTACAGTATTTCCTGTCATTCAAACCTAAAGTTCACTTACTCCACAGTCTTCAAAAGTGTAGAAGGGTCCTAATGGCACAGATTAAAAAGCAATTTAATACAGAAAAGGGGATTAGAAACACTATGGGCTGCACTAATCCTTAACCTTTAGTCCTGTTCTCATGGAGCCACAATATGCGCAAGACGATAGCATCACAGGACTGGAGTTAGTAAATTTCCATTAGGGCCGCCCTTCTTTATTCCCACCAGCACATTTAAAGGCATTAGGCATGCTTTGTCAAGGCTAATAAAAAGGGCCAGCAGTGCTATCACACACCCCCGACTTGTTTCGGAAAAAGCACTGTTCCATGTGAAGTTTTCATAACCCATTATGATAATCTGCCCGAGTCTCTGAAGGGCAGGGGATAGACAGGCAGATAGATGCTTCTGGGGTGACTGCTCTACAGCCTCTGCATGGATAGAACATTTTCTGTCTGCGTAACCGGGACAGAAACTCACTCCTATCTGCCAAGAAGAGCAGAAATGATACACGACTAAATGTGAGAAGAGTCTGCATGGCATCGGGTCGGGGAAGAAAAATAGGAACATTTTGTGTAGGTGATTCTCTCCTGTCTTGTTCAAATTAGAAGTTATATACACAATATACAATGTACTGGTTGTAGTCAAAGATATGCATGCATTGCTCTTTTCTGAACTTGCCCCTAGGTTGGCCTCAAACTCAACAGACACGATGTACAGTACATGTTATCCTTTGACTTTTAAAAGTAATGGTTTTACTTGTTTTCCTCTTAAAATCGTGGGTCTCTGTGGTACGCCTGATTTGAGAAGGGCCGCATTTATTCTTCTCCGTTCTCTTTTAGGCAGCCCGCGTCTAATCTCTGCAGGGGAAGAGTGTTCCTCTGATAGGAAACAGGGTCATGCTGAGCATCAATCATTCATATCTAAATTTGTGCAGCGCAAAGATTCAATTTTCTGCACTTTGTAGGGTCCACTATTGGTTATATGGTTTTATTTATACATCAAAGTCCATTCATTATTTATTTGTTTTTTTGAGCCATCAAAGTTTGATGCCATTTTCTTAAAGGAAAAGCTGATGCGCAAAAGACATACTGGCAAATAAAGGGAGTTTTCGGCTGTTGTAGTTTAACTGTAAAGTTGTGATTATCATGTTTTTTCCAACACTTCCTAACACAGGCTTGAACTACTCTTAATGAACAACCACGTCTCTGTTAGCAGCGCTCAGTACATGTTGCTCAAGAAAGAAGAACTTGGGTATTTGGGACTTAGAAACAACAACTGTTGATATTTTGGTTCCTGCTGTATGTTTGGCCACATGTCCTGCTGAGCACTAAATCTGTCTGCTTTTATAACCAAAATTGTTTTGCAAGATCCTTCCCTCTTTGCCCTCTCCAGAGCCACAGAGATGTAACTCCCACATCAATGCTCTATTTAAAGTCTAAACCTGTATGTGTCTCTTCCACCTACCGTCAGTTTTTACACCCTTTTTGTTGTGATAGTATTGTATTTATCACACTTCTTCCTGTTCACAGGCCACTACTGAGCAGAAGAAGCTGAGCCATGCTGGATCCAAGCCCTCCCTCTCCGAGAGCAGCGGCCGACTCCCTCAGATAGCCATGAACACCTGCAAGTACAATGGCGGTGTGGTGAGACCACTAGTGGGCAGCCTGGCGTCCTCGTCGCGCCGCAACCTCGCGGAGCTCGACTCGGAGACGCAGCCCTTGCAGACGCTGCACAGCTCTGGCCTGGAGGTGGTGGTGTCCAAGGGCAACGGTGGCGAAGACCCCAGCAAGGCGTCCAACGAAAGCTTGGTCAGGGAGGGCAGTGGGCGTAGCGGAGGCAGGGCGCCGGCAAAGAAGAACAGGGACATTGGCTACAAGCTCGGCCACCGGAGGGCGTTGTTTGAGAAGCGGAAGCGGCTCAGCGATTACGCACTCATCTTCGGGATGTTTGGGATTGTTGTCATGGTGACAGAGACAGAACTTTCATGGGGGGTTTACACTAAGGTAGGGTGTGCATGTGTGTGATGCATGAGTGGGAGCTTTGTGTGTTGTCATTGCTATTGTTCATTTTTGATTTGTGTGGGGTTGGCAGCTGTCAGATTTATGAAGAGTGATTATTAGCACAGACACTGACATACAAGGTGATGGGAATATTGCACAAATACAAATAAAAGGAGTGTCATGTGAGCTGTGCAATGACTAACAGTCCAAAGATGGGATAAAATATTGGATACAAATATTTTTATTGAGTCATTTTTTAACTGTAGACCTGCTTTTGTTACTAGTTATTATTATTGGCATCAGAAGGGAGTTTAGCCAAAGAATTTGGTTCCACTACTGCTGCCATTGTGGCTGTCTGTCATTCCCTGTGAAGCCAGCATCTAAAATAACTACCTCACAGCAGGAGGGGGAAATGGAGAAAGGGATAGTGGAGGAGAGGGGGTGAAGAGAGAGAGAGAGAGTTATATAGTGATTTAGACACAGAGAGAGAGAGATAAAGACAAGTACAGATGAAGAGAAGGTCAATAGGAATAAAAGATGAGAATGACGTTTAAACCGCCTGACAGCTTCTTTTACTTTTAGCAGATCAGAGTGGAGACGACACAGCACGCTCTAGGAACAAGTGGGACTCTTGAGCAAGGACACAGCAAGGCTGTTTGGTTTCAGGGTCATGGTGACCAGGTCGCCACCCATTGACCTGTTATTGTCCTTCGGTATCAGCCAATCTGTCCTGCTATGTCAGGGTATTTTGGCGAGAAAATCGTTAACTCAGTTCACTCAGAGCAGCTTCTGCCACACTATTTACTGGGCTGTTTACTTGGGAGCTGACATTGCAGTGCACTGCAGTATATAGTAGGTCACAGTGTCTTTCATCTCTGGAAATAAGACCATCTCTTTAACAATACAACAGAACAATATGTGAGTAAAAACTGAACAGGACTGAAGACGGTTTTGTATCTTTAAGACTGTTAACTACAAATTTTGTATATTTAAGCCATATTAATCAATTTGAGACCAAACCCCACAATAGAAACATCACAGACATAGAAAAAATAATAAAATTCACATAGAGTTACAAACTTGATATGGTTAACTTGTTAGTTGCCTATTTACACATCCAGCATTGGGAATGACTCTGGCAACGTGACGAATGTAGGTCCAATATTTACTCTTAAGATACTTTCAGACTAGATGCTAACTTTGCCTTTTCACTGACTAGTTACTTTGTGCTTCTGCTGTGCTAGATAGGCAGTGTACACAGGGTTTATCAGAGCTTTCACTCTACTGCTACTGCTTGTGGCTAGTAACCATGTTGGTGGAAGTGAAAGCCTGAACCAAACAAAAAAGTTGCTGAAAGATTTGGTTCATTACTGCAAGTGACCCCTTTCACTTTTCACCTTTATTGTGCAGCTTCAACATTGTTGCAGACTGTTAAAAATGGATAAATCCATAAAATGAATTGGTTTGAAACTTGTCCGTGATAAGTCATCTTTTAAGACTGTTAAAAAAGATATATATAAAACAACAACTGGGACAAGTTGTTTTATAATGCAGAGGTATTCTGTACTATATTAGTGGGTGGTTGTAGTGCTAATTCTTAGTTTGCAAACCACCAGAGAGTATTAGTGTCTTTTCACACGTCATAGTACTGTAGGGAATGGGGCTTCCAGCGCTTCCTTTTTTGATTGTATAATAATCTTTATATATAAGGATATAATAATCGTTTAAGGTGAATATTACACCTTTATTTTGTTGTCAGTTGCATTATTGTCACATGGCCCTGTAGCTGTGACAACAGGCTATTCTGAAAATATTGCAAGATGCTTTGGCATCTAAAGTTTTAGAGTCTACTGTCAAAAATACTGTATGTCAGTCCACTGGTACAAATCTAAAATGTAGCTTGGCATTAAAAAGATCAGCATTGATATCAAGTACATTGCAAGTTAAGGGCTAAAACCACCGGTATGTTCCTTTTTAATGGAGGATAGATTTTTTTTCCAGTTGTGTTCCAGTCAGATTTATTAGAATCTGTTTTTGATAACACATACGTATCTGTGAATGTGTGTCTGTACGATATAGTATGTCAGTGTGGTAATCTATAGGATGATTTATGGGGTTTTAAGAAAGTCAATAGGTTTGTCTGTGACTGTTACTGAGTGGGGTTCAGTCCATTCATCAAGCTGACCTCAGCTGAAATGGAAATGACCTCCCATCTCTGAGTGGCACAGCACCTCCTCCCACATCAGACAGGTAGCATGTGCCGCGGATGGTCCATTTTCCATCTCATGTCACATCACACAGCAGACACTTGAGGCTCAGTCAAGGTTTTCTGAGCCCTGAAGGAGGGAAACACGTTAACAGGCAGTGAGCACTGGGACTGAAAAATCCTTGAACCTCTGGCAGGTGGATTAATTGGTTTACTCAATGTTATTTCACCAGGGACTTCCCAAAACAATTTCAGACATTAGAATGTCTTGAGAACATGTTGCCGACCTGAGGGGCAAGGCAATCTAGTTGATAGCTAAAAATACATTCTGTAATATGGACCACCGAAGGACAGAGTCATATTGAACAGCTCTGTCTGTCATCACACTGACGATTATGAACGATATTTCCACTGGTTGTTTTTGTCATTCATTGTCGGTGTTGTCATTATAATAACAACCCTAGGATCATTAGCCTGCCGCAGAGTGGCATTTTTACACCGTGGCTGTTAAATTGATTTATTAAATGGCATTTTACCAACATAGAGGGGGGGACTTGAGTAGTACAGGTTCTCATTTCCTAGATCTATGGTCCCCATGTACACACACACACACACACACACTGCAGCACTAGCATCCAGCTGGCCTATTTATCACCAGCGACGCTCACTGTGGTGGCCCCCCTGTTAATGCTAGCCTTGCCTTTTCTGCACCTACCATTAAATGGAAAGTCCCCCTGTTAGTGCTGGGCTTTGATTAATTGGTAGTTTAGATGGTGGGGAACAACGTCCATAGATAATATCAGGCTGCACCTACACCTGCAGCTGCATTGTTTAGCAACATCCTGACTGCGCTGTTTGTGTGTAAAACCCCATTATCTGGTCTCAGTTAGACTCTTAAGCTAATAAGTACTGTCTGTGCATGTGTGTGTGTCCTCTTGTGTGTGTGTATGTGTGTAGCTGTACACACTTCTGTGGGCATACACTTGTGTTTATGCATGTTTATATGTGGACATGTACAGGTACAATCTATACGCACAACGTACCGAATTCTACCTGTCTATTTCTGTCAACGACCTCTTTCCACCTTGTTGCTAAGCAGTAACATACAACTCAGAAATCATTGGTTGTATAGTGATAAGTCACTATTTCCATCTATTAAGGCTAAATATAGACACTGAAAATATGGAATATGTACTAAATACAAGGAGCAGTTTATCTTGTTATATTACTATATAAAATGAGATTGTATATTGTAATCTGTTGATTGTGTTGATTTAACATTGTTATTTCTAATATCTTTTTTCCTGTCTTTTTCTCTCACCATAGGAATCTTCATACTCATTTGCACTGAAATGCCTTATCAGCCTTTCCACTGTTATATTGCTTGGTCTTATAATAATGTACCATGCCCGGGAAATCCAGGTGAGTCTACCACAGAAAAATGATCATTTCATTCATTATATCATCAGATTTTGGTATCAGTGTTGTGAAAATGATGATGATAATGACCATGATAACAAGGATTTTGAGTTGGCATGAGACCAAATATTGAAAAAAAATAGTTTTATAAAATTCTAAAACAAGATCTTGTTTTTCTTCAGCTGTTTATGGTCGACAATGGTGCGGACGATTGGAGGATAGCCATGACATATGAGCGGATCTTCTTCATCGTGCTGGAGCTGCTGGTGTGTGCTATCCATCCCATCCCGGGCCATTACGTCTTCACCTGGACGGCGCGGCTTGCCTTTGCCTACACGCCATCAGTGGCTGAGGCTGATGTGGACATCATCCTTTCCATCCCCATGTTCCTGAGACTCTACCTGATAGGCAGGGTCATGTTGCTCCACAGCAAGCTGTTCACGGACGCTTCCTCTCGCAGCATCGGCGCCCTCAACAAGATCAACTTCAACACACGCTTTGTCATGAAGACCCTCATGACCATCTGTCCAGGAACTGTTCTGCTGGTGTTCAGTATATCCTCCTGGATCATTGCTGCATGGACTGTGCGCGTCTGTGAGAGGTAAACACATGGTTGTGAATAATGGATGTTGCTGGGGACAAATTAAAAAACAAAATGGCTGATGCATCACGCGTTGCGGATTACTAGGCACCCTTCTTTCTTCACTCTCTGTTTCGTTCCAAGCTTCTTAGTGTTACCTTGTTTTCAGTCGCTCATCTGCACTGGTCCACAGAAATGTGTGGAATAATCAGGATAGCTTACATATAAATACTGTACACATGTGTACAGTAAGGCATACACTAATACGCCCACATACTACTCCACTGCCTGAGTGTTTAAAAACACCCTGACATACGTTTCATTAGCTCAGCAATCGCTTCACGACTCCCCACCCCTTGTTTTTATTGCTATTTTAGATGGCTTGTCCATAATTCATGAGTGTCTAATTGTTTGTTTGCTGAATGGTTTGTTTTGGTAATGCAGAGCAGCCCCCAGGATCCCCTAACCCGTTTTCTCCCAAAACTGCGCATTGGGCTTCGTCTCAAGGGGGCAGCAACGATTCTCACTGAAAATGAAAGAGGCAGGGAGAAATGAAAAGCTTCTCTTTTTTTTTCTTGTTTTGCATTTGCATAGGGAAATGAGACGTTAATGCCAGCTTTGATGTTTCAAAGTCATTTTTGCATAGTTGGAGTGGTAGGGGGACTTGAGTAGGGTGGGCGGGAGATCTATAGCAGTTCTTGTCAGACCCAATACGATACTGTACATGTGTACTGTGCACTGTAAAAGTTAAGCATCAGCTCAGACGAAAGCTTTCAACCAGGCCCTGATTACAGATGCTCAGTGTCCTTCTGCAGCTCACCTTGCCTGCTCTTACTCTTAAGTACCTCCCCTCCCTTCCTGTGCCTCTCCTCTTAACTACACCCCTGTGTTAACACCTGTCACTAACCATCCCTCCTCGCACGCCCAACCCTGGATCATCTGGGACCTTCAGCACCTCCAACTGTTGATTGTGGGGTTTAAACCTCACAGGTTGAACCAGCAATGAGCAGCTGACCTTTAACACCAGCTCCTCTGGAACACACAGGCAGGACAGTGAGGTGTAACTGGTGTCACCTCAATTCAATGTTTAATGTTCAAGACAACAAACTGTCCAGCTTCTATACTACTATTAAGGCCCCTATAAACTATCTTACTCTATATGGGAATTTAAGTAGTAGTAAGTAGTAGTACAATATTTAAGAAAAAAAAAACGCTAATTGGCTTTCTTACCAAGAGTTACACAAGAAGATTGATACCACACTTATGTCTGCATGATAAATATGTTGCTGGAACCAGCAGCCAGCTAACTTAGCCAGAGATAACTCAACTAACAGTCCAAACGGACGCAGGATACGCGAGGCAGCAATCATGCGTACACAAACGTGTAGTTAAAAGCAAACCAGCTGACAAAATAACCAGCGGAAACTCCAGGAAGTTACTGGTTCCAACACACAGAAATAGTCTGGCATCCATAAAATTGTTGTTTTTACACTTAATTTTTTGTACAGATTAAACAAACAAAATATAACGTGTTAATTAGTGACATTTCATTCGATTTTGTTACCTTAGGGAAAAGCTAGGCTCGCTGTTTCCAGTTTGGTTGCTAAGCAAAGCTTACCGGCTGCTGGTTTAGCTACAGTACAGACAGTCAATCTCTGCAAGTGTCAAATAAGTGTATTTTCCAAAATGTTGAACTTTTCTTTTAAATTGAACATGGAAGTTTTGGCCAAACAATGAACAATGAACGAGAATGGACATCTGACACTGCACATCCTTAATCTTTCAGCATCCTGGGGTCAATTTGGAAATCTGGACTTAAATAGATGATTAGATGAGAAGCACAGTATCTCTAACAGAGTCATGGTTTTATCGTACACACTTTCCATGAGCGATGCATGCTGATAGTCCTTTGGTTTCAGTTTGAGAATAACATGTGAGATGGATGGATTTGTGTACGTATGTATATGTGTGTTTCTACGGATGGTGCAAGCATGCACATGTAGGTGTGTGTGCGTGCATGTGTGTGTGTTTGTATAATGTTTTGTTGTACTTTCTATTTCCCCACTATGCTGCTCCATAGGGATACCATGTGAGTCCTCGTTCTCTAGCCGTGGAAAAAACAACTTATCATTTTGCACCGAGCTGGCGCCACTGCTGCCCTAAGCGGGGTTGGAGGGTGGGGTGGTAGTGGGGAGAAGGGGCAGCCCCTCTAAAACAATTGACCCATGATCCTTTCCAAACTCATTATGGCAAAGGAGGATTAGGTAGGCCCTCTAGTTGGCATGAAAGTGGCACCATCCTTCTGCTAAGAAAACAGGCTTTTAGTGGCTATAGGAGCACAGCAGAAACCAACGGTGTGAGCAGCACTTTGAAGCAAGCGTCTCTTTGCTAACTATTGTGTGTTAGGCTGGTAGGGGCTGGAGGAGAAGGAGGAGGAGGAGGAGGAGGAGGAGGAGGAAATTTGTGCTAAAATGGAACAGCTCCTTCAAGTCACCTTCACGAATCTGCCAGAGGGCAATTTGCCTTTTCTAATTTTTTCTCTTCCTCTCCTTATGCAATTGTTATAGATCCATATTGCACAAAAAGTCTTTTTAGTCGCAACTCCAAAGATTTGTCGAAGAGCAAAAGCCTTTCTGTTCTTTGTGTTCACACATTACCATCCCATTATGTGTCTCCCTTCACAAAATTAATTGAAAAGTGTGGTAATGGTTTTCCACAGACTTTTGTTGCTTCTACCCCAAAGATTTTGATCTAGAGGTGAAGACAGTTTGTCCCCTGTAGCAAAAACAAGGTCTGAGTATGCAAAGAGAGGACAAATGTCAAGTCATTGTGTGTACTAGGTATTGTCATTTTGGTCTGGATGTGTGTGTTACTACCTAGCACAGCATAATTTTGCTCGCCAACTATATATTATATAGTGTTACGCAGTTAAAAGCTAGGCAGGTGAATGAGGGCATTGCTTTCCATTGTTGCAGAGCACTTTGTTCTTAATTGAGACACTCTGAAATAAGAAGTATGATCTGTGCTGAATGCTGTGTCTCCAGTTTTCATTTAAACAACCATGAACTGAATGTCCTCATCCCCCTTTGTCCCCTCCTCTGGTAAACATTGAAACAGCATGCACGTTTTCATGTTTACTTATCAATCCCATCATTTCAAGTAAAAAAAAAAAAAAAAAGTGGAAAAAAAGAGGCGCTTGTTTCCAAAAGTGCTGTGTGTGACTTCTGTATCCTGTAAATGCGCCGTTACACTGTCACATTGACCAAACTCCTGAGCCAATCAAAGGGTAGTACGGTGTGAGATTGGACGAGCACGGAGTCTACCTGGAAAATGCCTAGATGTGGGGAATGAAAGACACACAACCAGAGGGACAGAGAGGGATGGAGGGGTAGAGGGAGGGTGGAGCTGGGAGGAATGCTAATGTTACAGTAGATGGATTTAACGCTGGTCACTGGCCCCCTTTCCCTTCTTTCTTGATACAGTCCATCTTCAGAGCTAACCTACCTTAACTAAGCTCCTTAACTAAGCTCTTTTGGCTTCTCCCTCACTACCATAAAGCTCCCTCCCTCTCTCTCTTACTCCTGACTGATCCTTTGCAGATATCCTACTGTACCCATCTAACGTGGCATGCTTTGCAGTCTTTCCTCATCTTTCCCTACTACTGATTCCCTGTCCCAATGCCTTCCCTTATCCATAACAAGCAGGCCTAATCTCTCAGTTACACACTTGCATGCATGCCTTGCCTGCCTCCCTGGTTTCTCGCTCCTTTTTCTCTTTAACTGTTATCTAATTCTCTTCCTCTCCTGTTCTAACTCTGTTATCTGAAACAAATGCTCTATTTTGAGGTGATGTGAGATGTGAGTTTCTCACCTCGCTTTCTCCGGTGGGGACCCGTAGGCTACGTAAAAGACAAGCTCTCAGAAAGTTTAGCTGACTTTCCCTCAGAGCGTAGCACCGGATTATCAGGCTTGAGTTACTAGTCAGCTACACCTACACCCAAGGTCTGACCAGATTGTGTCATCGCTTAGCCACAAGATACAAACAGCACAGGCCAAGAACAGACTGTCCAAATGTCTAACTAGAGAAACACACACCAGTGCAACTTGAACTTTCTCACACCAACCACAGCTTAACATAAAATATTTAGGTAGATTTCACAAATTTACAGTCTCCAGGCTGCAAGTGCAACCACACGGATCCATCACTGACACAAATTTAACAAAGAATGCAGCTCCTTTTAGTTTGTTATTAGATTCAGATTGCAGCAAAAAAGCCTCCTTATTCTCATAGTTAAACGGATGCTGACAACTTTGAAGTCAAAGCATCATTTCTGTCAACAGATGCTGGCATAAATCTTCCAGACATCAAAGAACAAACTGACCTTCCTCATTGAATAACACTGATCCAATGTTAGATCAACGCGCCTAACAATGAATGCCAAACCTCACAAAGTAAACTGTCTATATAGCTTGCTATGCATTTTCAATCAAAGTGTCTGATATACCTTTCTCTTAATCTGAATCTTTCACAAGATTACCTTTAAAATGAGAATCTCTTCCACAAAGACAGATGGATTTTATGCAAATTGTTGCAACCTCAAGGACAGGTGGATTCTCTATGGTTTGATGACTTGATCTGATAATTTGTCTTTGTGCTATGCACGCTCTGTAGGCATAGTATTGATTGCAGCCTATGGCAAAGTCATATACAAAGCCTGCAAAGCATGTTTGCATAACAAAGAAGGTGGATAATCACCCAAGATATGATCTGCACTGAAGATCATGTGCCAAACCTGTGCTCAGGCAAGTAGTATTAGCATAAAGTAGAAGTTTCCTTCAGATGTAACTCTTAATTATTTTTACTTGAACCACATCAAGTTTCAGACAAAATAATTTTTTCTTTCTGTGGGCTTGTTTAGTCTATTGCACGTGTAGAGTTAGAAGAAGTTAATATTGTGCAAGGCGAAATAGAAGTGGTAACTTATTTCCTACCAATATAAGAGAATCAAAACTCTTAGATAG